TGAAGATTCTTGTCCAGAAGTTTTGAGAATTATTAGTTTTTCAATTGTTGTGCAATTGTGGATGTTAAGACTTAATTTTTAATGTGGTTTTCATGCCTTTTTTAGGTTATGCCTTTTGAAAGCAAGTCTGTGATCTATCACTTGTTGCTTTCCCCCACTGACCAGTGCAAAGGCACAATTGTATTCATGTCGTAGATTTGGTGAGGATAAATTTCTTGTTTAACTATCTCCATTTGTATAGCTCATTTAATGTGGGCGTCGCACATCTCCTTGAAATTTTCATTGCCCGGCCTAGTACATTTCCTTAGTCAATTCTGTAGAGCATTTCTACTATGATTTATGCACTGGGGTGCGCGTCCAAAATTTCTTCTTTCATCGTACTTTTGATCAGTGAGCACTGGAAGCAGTGGCAGACAATAGACACAGGTTTATAAGTCTTTTTCTTTCATTTGTTATGTTTATGTGCCGATTCTCGAATTGATGAATTTTTTAAGCAATGAACATAATCCCTTGAATAAAATCCATGAATTGATTATTGAATATTCTGTAAGGTAACTCAAGGGTTGTTTGTCCAAAAACTGGGGCAAAGGTGGGGGGTTTGAGAAAATTAAGTATAGCATAACATCTTCATCAAATTAGTAGACCCTGACCATTGAATCTAATTGTCATAAAAATATACTAAACATGAATTCTTGAGGTGTTGCAAAACAGAGAGAAATATAGAACAATCTCACATTCCATAAAAGCAAACCAAACTACGATGATATTCACTAACCTTATGTAGCAAAGCTTCTCTCTGATATCCCTAACAGTCTCAAAGTCAGGAATCTTACTTACCATATCTTCACTAAAGACTCTTATACTCCAATCAAAACAAAAGCAATTACTGTGAAGAACATTAATGGAAAAAAAAAATACAATATATTTGTATAAACATAACAAAAATCTAGATAAAACACTATAAAGAGAACACAAATAAAAGCAAAGTGGTAGTCAAAATCTTTACCTGTTTTGCCCCAAACTACAGGATCAATAAAGGGGCCGATCTTGATAGTTCAACCCATTCCCTCTTATCACTAGTCCAATATCCAGATCTGACAATGTGTGATCAATAAGAGTTTTTAAACTTGGAAATAAAAAAATAAAAACTAATTTCTTTAGATCTAGATCAAGTTTAACAAAAGGAGGTACAACAGATTTCATTAACTAAGCTTTTGCTAAATCAAGTGCAGGAAGAAGTGTGAGCCCATATTTTATTTATCTTAACAATGAGATCTAGAGCACAAGACAAGCATGCACATAAGAACATAGTTTATTAATTGATGACATGTTCTTCAAAGTCAAGAATTATCACATGAACTTCACATATGCCTCTGCACATTTCATATCATCCCACAAAACATAAATGCACATAAGAACATAGTTTATTAATTGATGACATGTTCTTCAGAGTCAAGAATTATCACATGAACTTCACATATGCCTCTTTACATTTCATATCATCCTACAAAACATAAAAATGTTTGGTATCTTCTAGAACAACAAGATTCAACAAAACCACAAAGCCTAAATACCTTAACAATCAAAGATGAACTGCCTTAGCTATCCTACAAAAGCTTAGTTGGTCTATCACATTTTACATAGTAATTCAATAAAATCTTGTTTACAAGTTTCAAGTGGAGTCCTTTCCAATCTCCATCCATCTGTTCTGCCGCTTTACATGTCATCCACTAGTTTCAAATGAAGATAGATAAGTGAAATAAGAAATTCAATAGGCCTAATATGAACTCTAGAAAAGCGATTGCTATAAATGCTTCTTTTTTTTAATTATTTATATATGATCATGTAGACATTAGATTAATAATACTATCATAGCATATGACACCTGGACACCATATAACTGTTCCAACAATTTATTTCAGCTTTCAGCCACTAACATGTGAGAAAATAACACTTACTTTTCTCTTATAAATGAGGAAGTCTCACTAATATGCTATTAGTTCTTTACTTCTTACTTTGTTGGCAAATATTTTCAGAAGACGTGCATTTGATTACAGTCTAAACTAGAAGCAAAAGTTGTGAAGCAAAAGTTGTGAAGCAAATTGATCATTATTTTATCAGTAATCAATAATGAGATTTCTAGATAGCTCAATTGCCTACACTACATCTATATCAGTCTTCATCACTACTGTCAACTGATTAAACCAAACTGGAATTCATAACCCAATAGAGCTCCATAGAACAAAAAAAATATACAACACAAATCTGACTAATAGTAAGTTATATAGAGTTAACCAATTTAGATGAATTGAGACTAGCATTTATTTATATTAGAAAATACATAGAATGGCAATTACATAGAAGAGAGAATACATATAGAACAGAACCTCTTCAACTGCCTTCTCTCTAAGGCTTCCCCCAATTCTCGATCCTTCTCTGCACAAACAAAAATCAACAACCAAATCAACATTGTACTTTAACAAATCAAAAATCGAAAATTTACCTAATAGTGATTTGAGCAGAACAATAAGTAAAACTAGAAACGAAGAAGATAATGATTTAAGCAAAAAGTGGAAACAGAGCATAAAAGAAGAGATTCACAGAGCTGAAGAAACGTCTAAGAAGAAGAGTTCCAAACAGAGCACAGAAGAACATCTAACCTCTGATCGAAGAAGACGAAGATCACGGATCTGAAGAAGAGTTCCAAATCACGGTGCTCAAAATCGAACTTCAAAATCGCAATCGCTCTGTGCTCAAGAAGAAGAATCACCGAATCGAGAGAGAGAACTTCGTATTGATTCGATCCTCTGCGAGAAAGAGAGAGAAAGAGAGTGAGGGAGAGATTCGAACTTCATATGCAGACGGCGGTGCTCAAAATGGGGTTATCAAAATAAAGGTTTAGAGAGACAGGTTAGGGTTTGAGGAGAGGCAGGATTCGGAGGCGCTTTTCAAACGACTTCTAGTCACAAAACTGTACCGTTTTAATTAAGAACAATTGCGGCGTTTAAAAAACGCCGTTAATTTTTAAAAAAGCTGACGTTTAATAAAACGCCGTTAATTAAACGCCGTTAAATTCCCAAATTCCAGTAGTGACTAGAGAACCATGCAGTAACTTTTTAGAACTCTACAGTACTAATCCACCGGATCCCATCACTAGAGAATCACTTAGTAGCTTTATTTTGGGAGCAATTATAGCAGCACTAATATACCGGATCCTATCAAAACTCTGCAATTAAGCGTACCTCTATGAGAGTAGTATTAGGATAAGTAACTCTCTAGGAAGTCCTCATGTTACATCCCTTTTGTAGGATCTTGTTCTGGATAGATAAGTGGAGGGGTGATTCAAGTCTGATGGCACAATTTCTTAAACTGTATTAGTTATGCACTGAAAAGGATATATCATTAAATGGGCAACTCTCAAGATATGATAGGTAGAGCAAGTGGGTTTTCAGATTCAGAAGACCCTTTCATGCTTGGGAGGAGGAAGAGTTAGATAGACTTCATACACTACAACATTTTCTTAATTTAGTAACATTTGAAAGTGCCACAAAACTATTGGTTTAATAACATTTTTTAGTCTTGTGGCATTTTAAACAAGTGTCATTTGTATCCGTGCCACGGTAGATACTAGTGCTACGGCAGATACTTGCAAGTGCCACTACATCATCATGGCTAAAAACTTTCAATGGCATTTTGATGTTATGGTAGATATTATTTGTGGCACTATCAAGCGCCATTAAAAAAAGAGTTAGTGACACTTATAAGTGTCATTACACCATCAAGACTAAAACCTTTCAGTGACACTTTAATGTCATGGTAGGCACTATTCGTGACTTTCCAAAACTGGACCATTTCTTGGATATGCCGTTTTTGGGCCATTCCTTGCAAAACATCAATCATTGAATATTTATGTAAATATGTAGAGAGGAAGAGAGATAGAGAGCATTAGACAGATGATATACATATATACATACTTATTAGAGAGAGAAAGTTTCCTTTCCATAGAGTTATGAAGTACGGATACTTCAAAAATGTTATCGTATAAGTACTGAATACTTATCGAATATGGGTACGTGTACCGCTACAGCTGCATGCGTACCGGGTATGCCAAAAATGTACCGGGTATTGATTCTCTCCTTCAAAGATCACATTCCGGTAAGTTCATCTTCGATTCTTCCTCCTATTCTTCTTCGATTCATCTTCCTCTTATTTGTTCTGTCCAGATTTTTTTCTTTTGTTCCTCTTCTTCAATTCATCTTCCTCTTCTTCTTTGTTCTGTCCAGATTCATCTTCCTCTTCGATTCATTTTTTTTTTAATTTTTTTTCTGTTTCTTCGCAGCAAACGAAGAACGAAGACACATCATTTTTCATATTTTTTTTCCAGATTTCTATTCTGTCCAGAATTTTTTCTGTTCTTCCCAGATTTCTGTTTCCTCTTTTTTCAATTTTTTTTCCAGATTTCTGTACTCATTGGCAGTAAACGAAGAACAAATTGATCTTGTCCATATTTTTTTTTTTTCAAGATTTCTATTCTGTTCAGATTTCTTCTTCATTTTTCTTGAACTCTCCTTCATTTTTTTGCTGATATATATTTTATTTTTTATATTTTTTTTCCCACAGCCACTAAAATTGCATGCAACTTGCAAGTCTAGAGCGTTCTCTGTAATCATCTTTAAAAAAAAAAAAAATAATGTAAAATGACCCCTCTGTTATTTAACTTTGCCCACTTTTTACTGTTGTGGACCGTAATAGACACAATAAAAAAAATGTTATTTAAATATTTGAAAAGTTATATACTCAAATGAAGTTAAAGAATTCACAAATTATTTTGTTAATGGTTATATTATTGGAATATGAGTTTATCAGGAAGTATAGGTTTTAATAATGACATTAAAACAGCTCGTATGATTTATTCTTTTTTTATATAATTTCTCTTTTTAATTATATTATTGAACTTTAATTTATATGTTGGATGTTTAGCTATAAATTTAAATTTAAAAAAAAAAAAGAAAAAATTGACGTACCTTAATCATATTCGCACCCTACTTTTTTAAAATTTACCATATTAATGTACTCGTATCGTATCCATACTCGTATCCGTTCCCGCACGGTGCTTCTTAGTGTGGAACTTTTCCACAAATGGATGAAACAACTTATGGTTACACTTGTGTTCTCCACCAATTAATGATTTGGTAAACCTCAAGCAACATGAAACAACTTCACACTACAAGAAATGTCACTTTTGGCTATCAAAACATTGGTCGCCAAAAATCACTTATTTAGTCGCCAAAATGATTTAGCGACCAAAATTTTTCGTCGCTAAACTCGTCGCCTTTACCCTGTCGGCGATAGTATTGGCGACTAAAATCTGTTTGGTCGCCGAAAGTGTAAACATTTGGCTACTAAATTGGATTTAGTCGGCAAAAGCTATGTTTCCCCTACTAAATAATTGGTCGCCGAAAGTACACATTTGGCTACTAAATTGGCTTTAGTCGGCAAAAAGCTATGTTTCTGCCACTAAATAATTGGTCGCGGAATTAGGCTTTTTGGCTACCAACCTGTTGTGGTCGGGGAAGGTACACTTTTAGCTACTAAATAATTGGTCGCCGAAAGTGCACATTTGGCTACTACTTTGAGTTTAGTCGGCAAAAGGTATGTTTCTGCCACTAAAGTATTAGTCACTAAAAGTGCTACCATAATTTAAGAATAACTATTATAGACCAAACATTTTTGTCACCAATAGAATACATATTTTTAGTGACTAAGCAATTTTTGTCATTGTTACTTTTGCCCACTAAAAGTTTTGTAGCCAAAACCCTGCTCACATTTACTTCTTCATTTTTTGCCACCAAACGTTTTAGTCGCCAAATGACACCATATTTTTTCCGTGACTAAAACATTTAGTAGCCAATACTTTCTTTATCTCTTTCTCAATTGTTTTAGCTACTAATTATTTGGTCACAAAAAATTAATGGGTTATGTTTTTGCTACTAAATTCTTAGTCACCAAAACATTTGATTACATATTTAGCTACCAAAATATTTGGTGGCCAAATACTTTAACCTTTTTTTTTTAAATAAAATATTTGGTGCACCTGTATCCATTATTAATCAGCATTCCTGTATCCATCAACAGTAAATATGTTATGAAGCATTCAATAACAATTACACACATTTCAGTTCCAACCATCCAAAAAATTAATATTGAACATCCACTTATATATATATATTACAAATTTCATAAGAACCAAGTGTAAGCCCACGTCAATAATTTAATTCAATACATAATACTGGAATAACCAAATTCTTTGTGCACCTACAACTTTTGTACCACAACAAAAATTATATTATGTACTGCCACAAAACTATTATGTACCACGTGCTATGTTAATTGCTACCACCAAAAAATTTTTTACAAACCACTATATATACGGATAGAGATATGAAAAAAATGCCCTCCCGTACTTGTCAACAAAAATATATCCACATTTGTATGTCCAAAAACATCTGCAAGAAAGGGGGAAAAAATCATTAGTTCGGTGCGTGTAATGGCACTTCTGGACGACATATATATATCGTAATAATTTCAAACATTAAAAGACAAGGACAGTGATATCTATTAACTAATGCAAGACATCCAAACATGAACCCATCATGAGTTCTTGTTTTAGTTTTTTTATCTCTAAATCTATCGAAGTAAATTTTAGTACTTAAATGTGAAAGTAAATTGTGTAGGTATTATGAAATTACCAAAATTTTGGGTGTACTTACCATTTCATCCAAAAATTATTTGTTATAAAAATGTAAGAAAACCCATCATTACAGTTTGTCTGGTATCCATAAAACTCACTATGGTTATGCTTTTGTGACCTCCACGAAGCTTCCAGTTACGTTAGTTCAGTGTTTTTCTAACCTCCACGGATGGAAATTAATATGGTCTTTTTCTTCATAAAAGATTCTAATTTTCTCAATATACTCATTGAAATTTTGGAAACACTTTCCTTAAAGAAGAAACTAATTAGTGGGTTTATAGATGTAGATATGCTTCTGTTTGTGAATGAGTAATGCCTTGGGTTCTTTGAAGGCTTATGGGGACGAGCTATATAAGATTATGCTTAACTATTCTTCCATTACACCATCTAATTTTGATACGTACCTTCAATACTTAGCTTCTTTAGTCCTAAGTTCCCTATTCTGTTGCTGAGCAATTATCCTCCCATCAGCCAAATCTTGAGGCCATGTTATGTATATGAACTATCTATTGTTCAACTGTTGCACATTTTGTAGTGGTGATAGTTAAACTTATCAAATACACAATTGCGCCTAAACCTTAGCTGAACTTTACAAATCCTTTGTTCCAATTTCCAAAGGACTAGGTCAACAGGATATATCATTCGTCACATTTAGTTCTTGTCCTACTTGCGTATTGTGGACACCTACATGTCACATTTATCACCGAGAAGCTTCCTATTACGTAAAAACAGTGGCTCGGGGGCTGTTTTGCATTTTCGCCCCCCGAACCCCTTTTTTCGACAAAGTTTATGACATTTTCAACTCTAATTCCCAAAGTAGGCGTCCTATTTATGTACCGTCTATCCGTAGATGTCTCATTTATCACCGGGAAGCTTCTCGTTACAAGAAAATTCCCAAAGTAGGTGTCCTATTTATGTACCGTCTGTCAGTAGATGTCACATTTATCACTGGGAAGCTTCTCGTTACCAAAAAATAAAATTTCGGGGGCTACTTTGCATTTTCGCCCCCCGAACCCCTATTTTCGACTAAGTTTATGACATTTTGAACTCCAATTCCCAACGTAGGCGTGTTATTTACGTACCGTCTGTCCCTACATGTCACATTTATCACCGGGAAGCTTCCCGTTATGAGAAAACAGTGTTTTGGGGGCTGC